CAAATATATCCTCATGAACAAATGCAAATTATTTGTTTGTTTTCTTTTATTTTCAGTGAATAGTTTGTGTCTTTATCGTCACGTTTCTTAAATGAAACTGCTTTGGGTGCGACAATGCGCTGTTTAGTGAACAAACTTGGTTTGGTGGACTTAATAAAACTTTGTAGACTAATGCCTTAAAAGCCCCTTTTATTTTTAAGTTTTGACCGTATCCAAGCGATCTTAAAGCTGGTAGTTTAACACTCTTAATTGTAAATGCGGATATATTGATTATAAATGCTTCGGAAATATTAATATAACTCTGTTGTACTTGACTATGTTAAGGTGATGCAACGCCCGGTTATACTGCGTTTCTGTCTAAATGTATAGTTTCTAGAGCCATGGCGTCATAATGATGGTATTAAGAGGTGGAATAATTCAGGTAGGACTGTGTAGGACATCACTGAAGGCCTAGGTGTGAAATGCACGGCCCGCCACTGTAGGACGTGGACTCCAAATGTCCTCCATGGTTAGTGCGCTCTGAATGTTCTGCAGACTTGATAAAACTGTGGCTCATTTTTAAAGATATTTTTTTTATTTGTGTTGCAAGTGCTCTCCAAGGGTGCAATATAAATGATCACGGTTTCCAAAGTAATATAATAAATAAAAATGACATCAAATACATCATATTTTGTATCACTATACATTTGGACACAATGCATGCCTTTTTAACAAAAAAATCAAAATTGCATTGCTTACGTTGACGGACTATGCTATGACAACTACCTTCATAGTTATTATTATAATAATAATAATGAACAGAAAGGTTCAGCTGTACAATCTTAAATACTATACAATCCTCAACCTGGTCACCACAATATCTAATCCAACACATTTATCTCAGTACGTTTCCTGTCCTGAATGTAACGGGGATCGGATAGAATACAAATAAAGAAATCAGCTCCATCTGCTAGTTAATGTTAACAGCTCAGTATATGGCACATCTCATGAAATGATGGCAATTTGTTATTAAAACAAAAGAAAAGTCAGGTTTGCGACTTCAGAATAACTTGCAATGCTGTAACCTACTGGAGACCAAAGAGAGGAAAGTAACACGATCAGACAAAGGAAATAAAAAGGGGAAACAGACGGTGTGCAAAAATGTGAAGGGATAAGGAAGAGGAGGAAAAAATATAAGCATCAAAGCATTTTGTACATTCTTCTTTTGTGAATAAACGCTGAGGAGTCTTTCAGCATTTTGCTTCTCCTATAACTCTAGTGTTCATCACAACCTGGGCATTAGCTGAACGTCTCTTTAGCTCACGTCCACCTTAAGATGCAAGAGCCAGGTATCCAGTAGCAGACCTAGATAAAGATATTTTACAATGATATTTTGGTCTGCATTTAAGAATAAATATTGCATTTGTATACCATGTGAATATATACTGCTTTTGTATCAAAACATGTAAAGAAGGGACTTACTCCATGTTGCTTTTCAGCTGGTACACAGTGCGCTTGTCCAGGTAACGGCAGAAGAGGGTCAGCAGGTTGGAGGGCATGAGCAGCGGCTCCACCAGAGAAGACTCGGACAGCTGTCCCGCCACCTGGAAGATTGTGTCCGTCCTGATAGATAAAAAAGGGACACTAAATGTCTTTAGGGCTCATGATTTTGTCGAGTTAATCAAATGACCTGTAAAATGGAGTTCTTCCACTAATAGGGACAGTTTCATCCCACAGGCCATAAGAAGGTTACACACCTGAACTTTTGAAAGAACAAACATAACATTCATCTGTTTGCCACTCACATATATATCAATATTGCAATTACTGTATATAGACTATTCTGCACAGTTTCAGCGTCATATTCTGTTTCTATTATATTCCATTTTATTTTATTTACTTGTACTATTGTATTGTGTTGCACTGTTGGAGGAGCCTGTGACCAAAGATGTTCATTGTCATAACTACAGCTATGCACACATGACAATAAAATCCTTGAATAATCACGCAAAAACATCCATTGGAATATTGTATTAACTAAAAGATATCATTCAGAATAAGAACAACGCCTCAAATACTTTTGTAACTAAGACAAAACATCCAATTAGCAGACTAATCAACTAAGAGGGGTCAATCCTAAAGGTCAATATTGTATGAGAATGTTAAAATGATTCATCACAGAATAAAGGCTTTAAAAGCCCCACCATGTCTCAAAGTCGCCGATGCTGGGCTCTAGAGGAATGCCTGAGGACAGCAGCTTCTCTCCTTGGGACAGGAGAGCGTACAGCAAGGACAGTCCAAACTGAAAGGACAAAAGGTCACAAAACATTGATGCAAAAGTGACATTAAATAAAAGCCAAAGAGCAACAGAAAGCTCAGACCTTGTTCTGACATGCCAGCGTCAGAGACTCGTATGTCGTCAGCTCTTTGAGGACGCCGATCAGCTGACTGAACGCCAGGCCTCCAATCACTTTGCGAAGAGGAGGGTAGAGCACTGGAAGGGCCTGAAATGTATATTGTTTTAAGGTTTTGAGAATGGAAGATTATTCCTGACCTTTTGAACTAAGCTCGAAACATAATTATCAAAAGTTGGCGTTTTTTTAACACACAACGTCAAGTGAGTCCAACCCCTACCTCTTCTGAATCTCTGCTCATCAGTGCAGGAAGGTTAGAGGTCACTATGCTCAAGATTTTCAGAGCAGCATTATTTTTCAGGAACGGGAGCAGACGGGCGAGGAGCCTTTTGCCTTTTGAGACCAGCAGGAAAGGAAGAAACTCCACTCGTGAATCTCTGCATCGAAACATTTGAGAAAAATCATTGACCAAATGTAACATCCATCAAAATTATACAAACTCAAAAAGTAATAGCTTCATTAAAAAAAGGTGAGAAAACGAAGTAAATGAATATCACTTCAACCCAAATGCATCACTTCTCAGTGATCTACCCCTGGAGGCAGGGTGTGTACAACTCACAGGGTGCTGTGATGTTGCAGCTGGGAGTAGATGTGCTCCACTTTGCCCTGGGACTTCTCCATGATCTTCCTTTCTTCTGCTTCAGACAAGAGGGGGGTTTTCATCCTCTCTGCCTCCTCCACCTCCAACAGAACCATGAACAACTGCAGGGCAGAACAGGTGTGAGCGGCTGTTTGAGAAGGTGAATAAAATACATCTACCTGAATCAAAACAGGTAATCAGCAGCAGGTACCTTTTCTATTTTACTGAGGACCTCTAACCGCTGCTGCTTGATGTCTTTCATTTCCTGTAATGAGGAAATATGCCTCAGTATTAGGAACAGCAGATACATACATTTCAAAATAGGACAAATGTTTCTCATAAACACAGTCACCTCGAGCGGGCCCTGAGTTTGGACTGCATTGACTGCGCTGATGGCCCGGCGAGGAGAGTAACACGTGGACACAGCAACCTGACCCAAAGAGCCTTCAAAGTGCTTCACTGCAAGAGAAACACACTTTAACAGGTGGAGAAAAAAACATGTTCAGCACTAAGAGTTCCTAGAGTAGACATTTCTCAACATGCAGGCTGGCAACACAAATGCAATAACATGAGTTCATAACATGAAAAGGTGAAGATAGAGGATAAACCTGGTGCGTAAACATCAGTTTTGGTGATGTAAGGTGTGGTGAGTTTAGGCGGCTCCCTCTTGCTCCTGGTGCCCAGCTCTTCCTCTGCCATCTTAGCTTCTATTCGCCGGTAGTACTCCTAAAACAAAGTTCAAAGTTTCTAGTTATGAAATTATTTAAGTATTTGGCGATGCACTCTAGAATTGGCTTTTCTGATACAAAAAAAAAACACTTTAAAAAAACGAGCAAGATCTCGAATGAAATAATAATAATAATAATAATAATAATAATGATAATATTTCCCACCTGGTAGTAGTAGTCCTCATGGTATGGATTCTCACTCTGCAGCTGGATCATCTGCAGCCGGGTGATCCACTCCTTCTCTTTGGCCGTCATGAGATTACAGTAAGGATCCCAGTCCTCTGTTTTTCTACAGAGGTCATATTGTTTTTAGAAATAGGCCTTTCCCTTTTGTGTGACATACTGAATATGAAATGTGTTAGAGCCAGTATTTTTGATTTTATAAGAAAGGCCACCTAATTGTGACGTCTGTAGTCAAGGCACTATAAAGGACTACAATTCCCACGGCGCCTGTGTTAAAGCCACAGTGATGGGCAACCTGTTTGAGAGACGCCGTCGAGGAACAGTTTTTAACCGTACCGTACACACAAACCGTACAAGTACCCTTTAAATAGTTTATAAGGATTATCAAGAAAGAAAGAATACCTAAGTTGTTTGTTATTTTATTTGAGTTTGCCTATTTGGTTTGAATATTGTAAAGGCCTATTTTCTTTGTTGCATGTGCAAAAGTTTGTTGTTTTATTTTGAGCAAACACATCGCAACATCTTCTAAACCATCGGAGGCCAAGCAACATTTCAAACTGCGAGTAATTTAAAAGGAAAGAAACGAGTTAGAACGGTCTGTTTAAGGCGTCTAGTGGCTTGGTGGAAAGACAAGGAAGGAAGCCACGACAAAATGGTTTGGAATCTTTGAATATTCACCTTTGGAAAATACGTTGTTTTTGACTGAGAAGCCGTCTATGTTGTGGGTGGAGCATGGTGACGGGACCGGGGTATCTGTGGGTCAAATAATCAAATTAAAAAGCACAGTGGATTAGTTTAACACTCCACAGTTTTAGGGTTAATCTGATAGTGGCTCTGGTTCAAGTAACTAAGCTTATTCATTGTTTATTGATCTCAGTTCATAAAGTTTGAAGACATAGGAAATGCACATCAAGTTTTATATGAGATGTTTCCACTATCCTGTTTCGTGGCTGGTTGTATAGCCTTCACCAATATGTCATGTCCTTTGATGCCAAAGTACTTTAGGTTCAGATGTATTAATCCTTTCCCTGATTTATCCTTTACATGAAGGATTTGTTTATGAGATTTAAAGCTGCATCCCTTAGATCAACTCTTATAACTGTGTCATGTAAATACGGAGCAATGCCAGGGATTTTATAGGATCCAGAATGTCAGGCCAATGAAGAGATTTATATACTTATGAGGAATTAAAAAAAGATTGCCAAGTCATAAATATATGTGGTACTTTTAACTTCACTGACAAATATTTCCAGGAACAAATCAAACATCCCTGTGTGATACACGGGATCATGACACACCTGAAATGCTGCACCGGATTAGACGCGGGGCTGTAAAAGGCGGACGGCCTCGGAGAGTTGGCACCGAAGCGAAGTTGCATCATCTTTGGGGTGGAGGGGCAGCTCATGAAGCCTCCCGTCTGCTTCAGAACAAAATAAAAACATCCGTCGGATAAATGCAAACAACTCTTTGTAAATAGTAAATACGTTTGCTAGACTTCCCCTTTTTTTATTGATTTAGTTTTTTTGACTGTGTGAATTTTTTGGCTTTGCAACCAACTGAATACCCCTCTATTAAGGTCTCCCTTTACACAACTGTGGTATCTTTCAGGATCCACAATGTTGTTTTGAAGCCAAATAAATAAAAAACATGAAAAGGCCTTCTTTAGAGCCAGTGATTGGTTTGTCCTTTATACAAACATAGGGGTTCATTGAAGCAACATAGGAGACCCCGAAGAAGAGGACCTGTACCCTAAGGATAAAGGGCTGAGAGTAGATCCTCCCAAGTACTACACACTGGCCCTTTATCGCATCAAAATAGGGCCAATGTATTATTGAACAAACCTGATTGTAATGTTGCCGTGGGGTTAACGGCTGACGTGAGAAGATAGGTGATCTTCCTACCATGGACGTATGCATCTGCAAGAAAACATTATTAATTGAAGGAACACTTGACATGTTTGGGTATACTAAACAGTTTAGAAAGTGCATTTAATTGATTGTAGATATTCAGAGAAGAAGATTGATACAGTACAATGGGTTATTATTTAAATCTTCAGCAAACAATGTGTTCGCTTAGCATTAAGACTGTCGACAAGTAACAGAGTGGTATTGGTCCTCTCATCAAAAATATAGCAATAAAAGGAAAACCCTGAAATGTGGAACTACTCTGCTAAATGTAATCCTCCACCTGAGAGGGGCCTCTTAGGTCAAACGGGCTCCTGGAGTAAGATCCTCCGAGCTCCCCTGTCCGGCCCCTGTAGTAAGAGGCGGGACACGGCACATCCCGGAAGTTGGAGGTCAGGTGCTGCCCTCTCCCTCTGTGGCCATCAATCACACACACGATAGCACTGTCCTAAGAAACAGAATGAAATAAGAAAAGCGTTTGTTTAGGTAACTCACTGCCACAGAGAATGTGTTCTTTAGTGATCCTAACCTGAAGTATTGATCCTGAGATTCTTCTAGTCTTTGTGGAAGATGGTAACATAAACTAAAACGAAAAACATCAAGCAATGAAACATTAGCGGTACGAACAAAGCAAATCTAAACCGAACAATACGCCCTTTCCTTCAATTGTTGCTGGTGTTTTCCTTTTGGTTTTGTCTGAGTGTAGTTCCCTCGCATGTCTTGTGCCGCGTTTTATTTATGTTTGTTTCAGTTTACCCACTATAAAAGCAAAAAAGGCTTTATTTATGAAAAAAGCGACACTTACATCATCGTCAAAGGTTTTATGATACATGGTATTCCCGAGGTCCACTATGGCACTGTCAAGAGTCTTAAAAAGCAGAAAAAAAGAAATGTAGTTAAGCTTTAAAATCTCATATAATAAATGAATGTATCTGAATCACCTTGATGCTGGGTCTCCCCTCCACTGTCCTCATCACAGCGGGGTCTTCAAACATCTGCCCCCTGCCCAGCCCTCCTCTCAGCGCCCTGCATCTGCCGCGCTGCGCTGGAGGAGCCCGGGAGAAATATTGTGGTCTCTGTCTGGGAGGGGAGGGGGGGCTTCTGCGGGGTGAGGGTTTGGGGTCTGGTGGAGGTGGAGGTGGTGGGGGCAGCGGCTCTCCAAACTGACGCACATCGAGGCTGGGGTCCTCTGTGGCATCCAGATCTGATTCAGACACATGTAGAAAGACTGCGAGTGAAGATTTCATCCCTACACACTAAAACCCCAATTGATACTTTTTGGCAGAAGATGGGAGTGTGCAACCCTTAGATGCATAAGTGGGTCTTTTTGGACCCGGTGAGGTGGTTTTCTTGAAGTATCTTTGTAAAATTACATTTTTTTATCATTTCATATTCCAGCTATTCCTCAAAAAACATGTTTTGGATATCATGCCATTCACATTTTAAAATGTACATTTTAAGAAATTGTAGTTTTTGTATTACTACCCCAAGCTTCCATAAGTGGGTCAAAAATGTCCCGCATGCATTTTCTATGGGATCCTATGGGAACCTTTGATTCGTATCACCTGTGGCTGTCAGGAATACATTCACTGTGGACCACACAGACTACATCACAAGTGACACCTCTCAGGAAGATTATTTTACACAGCAAGATCTGATACCTCTCAGTATAATAATAATAATAATAATAATAATAATAATACATAATATTTGTATAGGGCTTTTCAAGGACTCAAAATCACTTTACAATATAAGAGAAGGTTAGGGTGGGGGGTATAGGACTATCAAACTTGATCAACCGGCATGGATTGATTGGGGGGGGGGGTAAATTGTGAAAAATTAAATATAAAATGTTTCTAGTGTGAACCAAAATATAATACAAGTGATTTTTCTTAACCAAAATGACAAAAATGGCATAAAAACACATATTACTCTAATACGGGTCCTTTTAGACCCACTTATGGAAGAGTGTAGGTTCCAGTCACTCGTGCATCTAAGGGTTAAGCCTCAGAAATATAAGAGAAAGTAAGCTGGGCATGAAGCTGGAGCCAGCAGCCTGTTGAGCTAACAGGGCTGTTGCTCTATCTAAGGAAAGATAGGATTACTTGTGTACCTAGCTTGGAACTAATGGACAAAGAGAAACACATCTACACACCCATTCCAAACGTCTCCTCATTGTGGACGTTTATCGCCTCATCTTCCTCAGCCATGGCTTGCAGGAGCCCACAGTCCATGTTGGTCCCATCCTCTTCATCACTCCACTCTCCTCCATTCTCAGGCCACTGAGGCTGGGACTCCTTCTCAGCCTCCTGTGGGATTAAAACATACATGACTACAAAGCAGCAACATGAAGAGAAGCGTTCAAAAACAAGCCGGAAATGCAACTTCAGGCTATAAAATGTGCTTTCATTTCCAAATGTTTGCACATTTTGCCAGCAATGGTGGTAAAAACGACCAATATGCTAATGAGCATGCTGACCACCTGACTAGCTTGTTAGCATGCCATGTTCGCCCCAAATTGACACAACAACAATATTAACTAATTGAAAGCAGTCTAATGATACGGACTTACTTGTTGCTGTTCTGAATCACTCATTGTGTCTTTTTGTTTGTTTGTTTTTTACGCCGACGGTTCACGGTGACTTTCTTCCTGCTGCAAGTTACCTGGTTTCTCTTGTCATACGCGCAAGGCTCATTAACTGTAAACGAACTCACCTGTGCAAGCTTCAGAGGCGCGCAGCACACTTAACTATCATCTCAAACCTACTGTATGCTTACTGTTTATGGATATCAAATGTGGTTATACATTTGTTAAAGAGTTTACATTAATTTGACTGTTTATTTTGAATATATGGACACATTCAGGATGCAGGCAATGATTTTAAAAACAGTAATACTCAAAGCGATGGGTGAACAGGTACATCTAGTGGTCAACGTGTATTACTGCAGCATTTTTGGTTTATTTTGGTTCATTTAGATGCGTTATAAAAAGAACAGTAGATTGATAGATAGAACAAAATGTCTTAAGATACATCCCCTATTGAATATGAAGTCATTCTTTTAAAAAAAGCATAATTCATCAAAGATTCAAGAATATGCAGTAATATACATTGATAAAAACGTACAATTTAAATGGAAATGTGTCAACTTATTACATTACAACTCTTCTCGACATTAAATACTGTCATTTGCATCAGTGTGAATGTTCGTCTCTAGTGTTGTGCATATATAAACATGCAATTATCTTATTTTAATCTATTTTATTTTTTCAAATATTTTACATCTGATTACGCTAACGTTTTTTCTGTTCTTAATAGACTTAGTAATACTCCTAATGTGCCCTGTTTGACTTACCAGAAAATACGTTATATCATGTTGTTTGTAAAATAGATACAATACATTTTAGATGTACTTTCCACAAAATACACAGTTCTTTGATTTTTTTTTTGTGGCCTTGGAATTACCCTTCTTCGGTTATAAAGATTAATTCACCCATGAAGCAGATTATAACAAGTTGTGTTCTCCTTTATTTCATTCTTTGGAATAGTTTTTGGCAAATTGCATAGAGCAATAGTGAAATAATAATGCAAAAAATATCTGACATTGAACATATAAGAGTTTACAAAAAACATACAGCATAAAGCAGTCAGCGTACAATATATAAATGCAATAGCAGTGGCACTTTATACTTTTTGCAATATAAAGCAAATATATTAAAGGGGATTTTCTTTTCGCTCAACAGTACAAGTCCTTCACTGAAACAATACATTTGCTCTTAATATACTGTTTCATTTCTACCTTTGGCAAAAGATTTCAATTTTTCAATATTCAATTTGAATCAACACGGTATGTAATAATTTACATACATGACAAAATCATTTGGCGTACTTTTAAATCTGTCTAACTAATGCTAGACTTACATTTCACCCTGCCAGTCAAAATGCAGTCCTTTTTTTAAATTGTGAAATGAACAGAAATGTATTGGGTTGGAAGCTTCTCATTTTTATTCCCTTCCCTCTATCAAAGTTATATTCTAAAAACCAATAAAGAGACCAGCTCCACCCTCATTCCCGCGGTAAAAAACAAACTAATTGAGAACTCTTGTCCCAGAGGAGGAGGGGGAGGCAGAGCGTCCTCAACCAAAGAGTTTGATGAAGCAGGGGTGGCAGTAGGGCTTATTCTCCTGCTCCTTGAAGCAGCCTTTGCTCAGGGGTTTCAGGCAGAAGTGACACACAAGGTGGTGGGGGTGAAATTTGGCCCCCATGGCGGTGACGCAGCGGCCCAGGATCGGCTGCTGGCAGGCCTGACACATGCTGCCGCGGGACTGGTGGTAGTGGGCCTCGCACAGCGGCTGACCCTCGTGTTCGAAGAAGCTGCCGTTGACGAAGGGGCAGTAGCACTCCTGAAGAAGAGGAGAAACGCAAAGTCAGTCACAGTGAAGAGCGCTGACTCACCGAACTGTAATTACACATCTGGCAGGGGATATTACAACTTTCTCATGACATAATTCAAACTTATTTTTAGTTTTTTTTTAGTTTTTTCGGTTTTAGGAACGCCCTGCCCACACGGTTACACATCAGAAGGTTTCAAAATGGAAAAAAAAAACAGAATTGCCAATGTTTAATGAGGGAAGAACAAGGAGATTGACTCATATTGTTTCTGTGAACATATCATCAATCCGTACGTAGTAAAGTAAAGACACTAACAAAAAATCTGTGAATACATGAAATTGATTTACAGGTAAATGAAACACATTTATGATTACATTTCTAGAATATATGACTTTTGGAAAGGAATTTGTGAAAACTGTTTTTATTTGTGAATCAAAAAGTAATTTGTGGATCTCAATTCCACACAGGTGGATTTACATTTTGCACGCAGAGTTTTGAAAATACATTTAACACATTTATAAGATTTCAAAGATACAGACCCAATATAAACTCCACAGCGTACCTTTAAATTCAACCTGTCTCTTTGTCAGATGAAGTCTTTAACAGCTAAACCCGTAACACCAGGTAACAATCTCTTTCTAAATGCAGCGGACATCATGGCTCCCCCCCACAGAGAAACACTCACCCTACAAACGAAGCACTGCGGGTGCCAGAGAGAGTTGAGGGCTGAGATGTAGTTTTCCAGGATGGGCTGGCTGCAGCCTTGACAGCGGGACGCAAACAGAGTCAAGAAGCACTGCTGGCAATACTGCTGGCCCTCACGGTCATGGAAACCTGCAGGAGATGTGGTCAAAGTTTTACACAGCTCAAGTTGATAAATGTTAAATGAACCGGATGAAGCTCGGAAGAAAACATCAGAACGTTTCCAAGGTGACTCTGGCCTGTGGTATACTTTAATCCGTCTTTAATGGTTTATGGTTTTATTGATGTGAGTTTCTAAAGGCTGATGGTATCTCAAAGCTTGTTCTGCTTTGAATTTGGACATGTTCTGCCAAAGACTCAGTGTTTTTCCGGAATTGTTGGCAGACTGTAACTGCATTTACAACAGAACATGAACCCTCCTTTGAAAACCATGGTAATTTAGTGTTTTTTTAGAGAGGTTAACAGCTGTTTAAAAGAAGGTAACAGAGCTCCCAGGGTCATAAAGTTAATCAATGCAAACTGATTTCTAGCTTTCACAAACTCTGGAACAGATTGCAACCGTAAAACACACAATGTGCAGAGCTTTTAAGGGTTGTACGTAAGTATGAATTGTATAAACTTCACTGTCAACAGTTGTGTGTTAAACCCAGACAGGAAACAGTGTGTGCCGCCCATTACCTTCCTCTCCAAACGCCCGGCTGCACTTCACACAGCAGAAACACTCCGGGTGCCAGTTCTTATCCAGAGCGGTGACCATTTTCTGACAAAAGGATTGAAAAGTTACTTAAGGTGGGTTGAGGTAGTAATTTGCCAGTGTCGAAAAAGTCTTTAAGTGAAGGGACATCCACAACTAAGTCACTCACATTTAGAATAGGCTTGTTGCATTGCGCACAGTGAGGGGAGAAGAGCGTGAAGTAGTCCGACTCGCAGTACGGCCGCCCGTCCTTTTCAAAGAAGTTGCGACTGCCTAACTCTGTCTCACACTCGGTGCACACAAAGTGCTCCGGGTGCCACACCTTCCCAAGAGCTGTGACCACCTGCACGAGTAAACAGACACAAGTAATTAACCTTTTGTGGTTTATAATTATGAAAAATGTATATAAATGAGTTCTCGGGAGCTCAATACAGTTTTATACATCTATGACTATATTCTAAGAGCTCACCTGTCCTACTACTGGCTTCTGACAAGCCGAACAGTTTCCTTTGGAGGATGTTTGAACCCCCTGTCGGGTCAGGTCTGACTGAAGCAGGCCCAGCATGCTGTCCAACGAGCCGCCGGACGAGGCCTGCGGCGGGGGGGTGGGCTGCTGCGGGGCTGTCACCACTGGAGTGACGGGTGCAGCTGGCTGGAAACACAGACAAAGGAAAATTATGCATGGCACATCTGTCTTTGAGATTTAGCAAGAGTTTATATCAATCTGAAGTTAGTTTGAAACTAATAGGAATAAAGCAGTGACTGTTTATGTAGTGAGTTTGGGAAAAGAGGAAGAAGGACATGGAAACAAAGTGTTGCATACTGACATTGCAATTGATGTAAATTTCAAACATTTCCCTGGCATTTGGTCATAAACTATTTAATTTGTGTGTAGTGCAGGTTTTGAAATATCTCCGTATGAATGAGTGGCCTGACATGCCATGCCTAGAACCACAAAGTTAGCACGGCTAATCCAGGTACATACCAACATCTGGGAACACAACAGTAAAGTATATCCAATGGAGAAATGCTCCTTTTTCAAAACACTGGGTTTTCAATGTTCCCCCAGCCTTGTGCTCTCGCTTGTTTATAACACACAGCTGGAACCAAACACACTTAAAACTACAGAACCACTTCATATGCTCTCGTGCTAGCACACTGACTCACTGAATATCAGATGATGTACCATATCAAAAGACTTCAGAGATATCTCTTATGCTGACTAATTTGTATCCTCGGGCTCTATCCGGTGATTTATGTGCTGCGACCGCACAGCAAAGTGAAGTCATCCCAAAGTCAAGCGAACGTCTTCATGACCCCAACATGAATCAGTGTGTGTGTGTTGTGAGGTCGCTCACTGTGCTCTGCACTCTGAAGTCGGACAGAGAGGCCATCAGCTTGTCCAGCTCCAGTGTGGCTGATGTTGCTGAAGGCTTGGCAGAGCTAGAAAAGAGCAAAAGACAATTCTTGTTTTGGTAAACTAACAAACACACTATTTCATCTTGTCTTGTTTAACATACTGGCTTGAATTCAACAGAGTGGGACCTAGTAAACATGGTTGTTGACGGATGTTTGAGTACACAAAACAGACCTGCTTTTAAATATCACCAAGACACTTTCAGTTGTTATGGATTATATTTGGTTAAAATTAAGAAACAAACTTTTTAATCAAGATGTTAAAAATGGTAGGGTAGCACACTTTGAATTGATTTAAACTTTCTCAGAAATCCTTTATTTGTCCCGCAGAAGAAACAGTGAACATAAAAGACTCAATAACACAAGTAGACTAACATATTGAATAAAGAGGCAAGCAGACATTCTTAAAAATGAAATAAGCAGCATTATTATTAAGTCAGTGAACGTGAAAAGGTGGTGAAGTAGCAGCCAGTGATA